GGAGGTAGGTTACTGAAAGCAGTAAAAAGTTTTTACGAGAATAGTGAGGCTCAGGTTAGAGCATGTAGGCGAGAGGGAGATTATTTCCCAGTAAAAGTAGGCCTTGGACAAGGATGTGTGATGTCGCCATGGTTGTTCAATATACAGTATTTATGTAGAGGGTTGTAAGAGAAGTGAATGCTCAGGTGTTGGCAAGAGGTGTGGGGCTAAAAGACAAAAGAATCTAACACAAAGTGGGAATTGTCACAGTTGCTCTTTGCTGATGACACTGCTTTTAGAAGATTCTGAAGAGAAGTTGCAAAGGTTGGTGGATGAGTTTGGTAGAGTATGTAAAAGAAGAAAATTTAAAGTGAATATAGGAAAGAGTAAGGTGATGAAGATAAAAAATTAGGTAATGAAAGATTGGATATCAGATTGGCAGGAGAAAGTGTGGAGGTGAATATATTCAGATATTTAGGAGTGGACATGTTAGCAGATGGGTCTATGAAAGATGAGGTGAATCATAGAATTGATGAGGGGAAGAAGGTGAGTGGGTACACCTAGGAGTCTGTGGAAACAAAGAACTTTGTCTATAGAAGCAAAGAGGGGAATGTATGAGAATATAGTTATAACAATGCTCTTATATGGGTGTGAAGCATGGGTGGTGAATGTTGCAGCAAGGAGATGGCTAGAGGCAGTGGAGATGTCATGTCCAGTGTGATTTGTAAATGGTCCAAGTCAGACCGAAACGTCGTCGTAAGCTCCTCTCTCCTACGTGCAGGTTATTTGTGTGTTGTTCGTCACAGTATTTGTGCCTTTTTGTTATTTCTGAAGGCAATGTGTGGTGTGAGTATAATACAGAGAATTCGTTGTTTGGAAATTAGGAGGTGTGGAATTACCAAAACTATTATCCAGAGGGCTGAGGAGGGGTTGTTGAGGTGGTTTGGACATGTAGAGGCGATGGAACAAAATAGAATGACTTCAAGAGTGTATAAATTTGTAGTGGAGGGAAGGCAGGGTAGGGGTTGGCCTAGGAAAGGTTGGAAGGAGAGGCTAAAGGAGGTTTTGTGTGTGAGGGGCTTGGATTTCCAGCAAGCATGCGTGAGCATGTTAGATAGTGAATGGAGATTAATGTGTTTAGGACCTGATGTGCTGTTGGAGTGTGAGCAAGGTAACATTTATAAAGGGATCCAGGGAAACTGGCAGGCTGGACACGAGTCCTGGAGATTGGAAGTACAGTGCCTACACTCTGGAAGTCGGGTGTTAGTGTTGCAATTTTATAACTGTAGTGTAAGTGCACCTCTGGCAAGACGGTGATGGAGTGAATGATGAAAGTTTCTTTTTCGGGCCACCCTACCTTGGTGCAAGATGGCCGATGTGCTAATAAAATAAAATAAAAGAATGATACAACTTCATTCATAACTTTTACTTAATGATAAAAACATAGAGTTTTGAAGAAAATATACCTAAATTTTGGTTATTGATTGTAGCAACTTCACTTTGATATGCACTATACTAGTCAATAGCTCATAAAATATTAGTAAGAGGATTGGGCATGATTATGGTCATTACACTCAGTATGTGGCATTCTAAATCAGCAAAATCAATCTTGTGCAGTCAAGGGTATCCATGCCATATCCTCACTTGAAGCCCAGTTGAATAGTCTGGTGATTTTTGGAGAGTCATTATATAACCCCATCACCCTCATTCCATCTGCCATATAATGTATATGACTATCAGTGAAATCCCTCATGATATAATTCAGCTGAGATGGTATTACCATCTTGTTGAAAGATGAACTGCGGTTGAAGATCTTTAGCCTGAGTTTCAATAAAAATCTTAAGCAAATCTAGATAAGTTAAAGAGAGAGGTTAAGAGAGTGGTGAAGCAGTGTAAAAAGAGAGCAAATGAGAGAGTGGGTGAGATGTTATCAACAAATTTTGTTGAAAATAAGAAAAAGTTTTGGAGTGAGATTAACAGGTTAAAGCCTAGAGAACAAATGGATTTGTCAGTTAAAAATAGGAGAGGAGAGTTATTAAATGGAGAGTTAGAGGTATTGGGAAGATGGAGGGAATATTTTGAGGAATTGTTAAATGTTGATGAAGATAGGGAAGCTGTGATTTCGTGTATAGGACAAGGAGGAATAACATCTTGTAGAAGTGAGGAAGAGCCAGTTGTGAGTGTGGGGGAAGTTTGTGAGGCAGTAGGTAAAATGAAAGGGGGTAAGGCAGCCGGGATTGATGGGATAAAGATAGAAATGTTAAAAGCAGGTGGGGATATAGTTTTGGAGTGGTTGGTGCAATTATTTAATAAATGTATGGAAGAGGGTAAGGTACCTAGGGATTGGCAGAGAGCATGCATAGTTCCATTGTATAAAGGCAAAGGGGATAAAAGAGAGTGCAAAAATTATAGGGGGATAAGTCTGCTGAGTATACCTGGTAAAGTGTATGGTAGAGTTATTATTGAAAGAATTAAGAGTAAGACGGAGAATAGGATAGCAGATGAACAAGGAGGCTTTAGGAAAGGTAGGGGGTGTGTGGACCAGGTGTTTACAGTGAAACATAAGTGAACAGTATTTAGATAAGGCTAAAGAGGTCTTTGTGGCATTTATGGATTTGGAAAAGGCGTATGACAGGGTGGATAGGGGGGCAATGTGGCAGATGTTGCAAGTGTATGGTGTAGGAGGTAGGTTACTGAAAGCAGTGAAGAGTTTTTACGAGGATAGTGAGGCTCAAGTTAGAGTATGTAGGAAAGAGGGAAATTTTTTCCCAGTAAAAGTAGGCCTTAGACAAGGATGTGTGATGTCACCGTGGTTGTTTAATATATTTATAGATGGGGTTGTAAGAGAAGTAAATGCGAGGGTCTTGGCAAGAGGCGTGGAGTTAAAAGATAAAGAATCTCACACAAAGTGGGAGTTGTCACAGCTGCTCTTTGCTGATGACACTGTGCTCTTGGGAGATTCTGAAGAGAAGTTGCAGAGATTGGTGGATGAATTTGGTAGGGTGTGCAAAAGAAGAAAATTAAAGGTGAATACAGGAAAGAGTAAGGTTATGAGGATAACAAAAAGATTAGGTGATGAAAGATTGAATATCAGATTGGAGGGAGAGAGTATGGAGGAGGTGAATGTATTCAGATATTTGGGAGTGGACGTGTCAGCGGATGGGTCTATGAAAGATGAGGTGAATCATAGAATTGATGAGGGGAAAAGAGTGAGTGGTGCACTTAGGAGTCTGTGGAGACAAAGAACTTTGTCCTTGGAGGCAAAGAGGGGAATGTATGAGAGTATAGTTTTACCAACGCTCTTATATGGGTGTGAAGCATGGGTGATGAATGTTGCAGCGAGGAGAAGGCTGGAGGCAGTGGAAATGTCATGTCTGAGGGCAATGTGTGGTGTGAATATAATGCAGAGAATTCGTAGTTTGGAAGTTAGGAGGAGGTGCGGGATTGCCAAAACTGTTGTCCAGAGGGCTGAGGAAGGGTTGTTGAGGTGGTTCGGACATGTAGAGAGAATGGAGCGAAACAGAATGACTTCAAGAGTGTATCAGTCTGTAGTGGAAGGAAGGCGGGGTAGGGGTCGGCCTAGGAAAGGTTGGAGAGAGGGGGTAAAGGAGGTTTTGTGTGCGAGGGGCTTGGACTTCCGGCAGGCATGCGTGAGCGTGTTTGATAGGAGTGAATGGAGACAAATGGTTTTTAATACTTGACGTGCTGTTGGAGTGTGAGCAAAGTAACATTTATGAAGGGGTTCAGGGAAACCGGCAGGCCGGACTTGAGTCCTGGAGATGGGAAGTACAGTGCCTGCACTCTGAAGGAGGGGTGTTAATGTTGCAGTTTAAAAAGTGTAGTGTAAAGCACCCTTCTGGCAAGACAGTGATGGAGTGAATGATGGTGAAAGTTTTTCTTTTTCGGGCCACCCTGCCTTGGTGGGAATCGGCCAGTGTGATAATAAATAAAAAAATCTAGATAAGTACCTTTGGTGATATTTTGCTCTGCAAAGAAGGATGCTGTGATCTCAGTATACATTTTACATCATTAAATGTACAGAGGGTCATTGCCTTTGCAGCCCTTTCTCAGACTAGGCCTCCTGACCTAGTAAGTAAATATTAAAGAGATAAGAACTGGTAAAAAAATCTTAGAAAAGTAGAGAAGTGTATAACGTGCAAATACATAGGGGGGTTGTAAGATTTACCTGTCATCTTGCATATTAATAAGGTAGAAAGAAAAGCTAGCAGTCCTACCAAACTGCAAAACATATAATAGGCTTAAGTTTCACACTCATTTGGCAAGATGTGGTACCTTCCTGAAGGAAGAGAATGAAGGTCTGCATGTACATTTGCCTCCTGGCACAGCAAATGGTTTTCACTTGACTGTTTCATTAAATATTAGCAGCAGATGGAAAAAGCAGAAAGATAGATGGGGGTATTGAAATGTGGTCCTGGATTGGCAAGTCCAGTTTTATCACTGAGCTATGGAGCTTGTGTAAGAGCTATAGAAGCTCCATAGCTCAGTAATAGAGCTGGACTTGTTAAAAATCACTGGACTTGGCAATACCAGGACCATGGCTCATTCGAGTTTATTAGCAGCAGAAGTTTAAGACCTAATGGGACTGTCTCATGTTTACACTATACTGTCCTTGAACTGTTGGTACCTGTTCTAATTTTGTACAGCTTTATGATAAGGAGCATTCTATTTGATGTCTTAATCCTTCACTGCAGCCATCAGTCAGGAGCTTGATCAGTCACAGTATACTGGATCTTTGTACATGGCATAAACATGAAATAAAAACAAAAATAGGATTTTTTGTATACATGCTGTATATTGTTGAATACTTTTCTGTAGTTACTTAAGCATATGATTAAAATTGTGTGCAGTATTTTTTTTTCTAGATAGCCTGTATGTTAAGGTTGCAATATAGAGCAATTGTTATTTCAGATTTCTTAGTTAATTTTATATTTTTGTCACAGGAGACAGAAGGTTAGTTTTAGCCACAACCCAGTATTAAGTATCATTATTTCTCTTTGTAGGCACTGATGACAACGAACAGGACTTTGACTACCTGAACAATTGGGGTCCACGTTTCAGTAAGTTAGCAGATATGTATGGTCATGGAGAATCTGAAGAGGAGGAGGACCATTAAGTCTCAGGTTGGAGCCTTGCCATGGGATTCACCTCATTGATTGAGCAAGTTTATATATAGTAACATGGAGCACTGTTGACATATTTCTAAACCAGGAGGACTCTGGTCAGGAGGGTGAGGTCGATCCTACTTTCTTAAGAGAATCTGAAGGTCTATGTGGAGAGAGGTGTTGCTGCAAGATTGTTGCATCTACATTATACATGTTGCCTTAAATAGTTAATTAAATTTGTAATACCAGCATGATTATCAAATCATGAATCACATCATTGTCACTGGATGTTTGAAATCTTCACTGGTGCTATATATATGAAATTCAATCCCTACATTAATTAACATTGCAAATTTGAAAATTTTAATGTTGTTCTCTTCTATTTTAATATACTGTACTTCATAAGAGAACTGCAGTGTCATTTATTTAGTGATTAATACAGTATTAGAATACTCATGGAGTCACACATGTAATATAGTATATTTCATACTGTTCTATTTGGTAAAATGCATCCTCCACATAGCTTCCTTCAGGTAGCCATGAAACAAGTGGCTCTGCTAGAGATTGACCATGAAACCTTTCCAGAAAAAGACTTATCCTCATACCTAATGTTCTGCACATTAATGGCATGACCCTCACAGTGCCAAGACTTTAACAATGAGGTGATAGAAATGCCAGTGTTCAGTGTAGACTGAAAGCTCCCTCTGTAATCATTTGTGGTGATGAAACATGTCCAGTCTAATTATGAACTTCAGGACAGTTAGCCTTGGTGAAGGCAGTGTTATCAGTCTCATTGAAGACTATGGTGGTTGAACTAACATTCCATAAAAGACAGTTGTGTGATAGTATGGGATGAAAGTGGAAGTAAGACTTGGATTGAGTATTTACGTGTTTTTGTTATGACCCATGTTACGTGCCAAGTACCCCAGGCAAATCTGTTTTGATTTGTGGACTACCGACATTCAGAGTACATTTTGTACTGTTCTTACTGATTTTTTTGTTTGTCCTCACTCACTACTACTGTGAAGCATATCAAGGAAATACAAAGGTTCAGTGTATTGCACCACAGATTTTCTGAGGGCAGCATTTATTTCTCACATAATGAGTTAAGTAGTGTACTCTTAATTGTGTGCACGAGGATGTGGTTGGTTTGTCTCCCCTTGTATACTACTCTCACCCTTAGTTTATATCAGGTCAGTACTGCAACTCTGTGCATTTTGCAGGCAAAAGCCAGGCCTGTATACAAGTACTCACAAATGAATCTCAGGCAGTACTGAAAATACCCTGTGTGAGAAGTGTTGAATGTATGTAAAGTTTTTGTACATGTGTAGATAATTAAGGAGGAGATAGATGTCTCAAAGAATGAAATAGTTCTTTTTCAATATTTGCTCATCTGTATGAAAGCTAGACAGCAAGATCAATTAGACATGTGACGACAGCTTCATTATTGTAGGCATTCACTGATTAGCAAGTTTATTACTGAACTGTAGTCTTCTCTTGGTGTCTTGCTGTGCAAGTGTTTGGAAGAAATGACAGTTGATTTATCAAGTGCTGATGTTTGTAGATTGTGGATCAGCTATGGATGAAGAGACCAAAACATCTGTTTAAGTTTTTTTGTACAATTCTGTAATTTAAGAATAGTACTCTATACTGCAAAGGAAGCAATAAATGCTTACTTTTTCTCCTTTTTTATTACTATAATTCTGCTGAATCTGATCTCGTTAGTGTATATAGATAACTTAAAAGGTAAGAAATATACCTCCACATGGCCACTTCTTTCATGCAGGTGTTTCCATAGTTGAACCTGGGCCTCTTCACCCAAGTTGCCCCATGCCCACAAATCCCCCCCCCCCCCCCCGAGGTCAGTTATCCTCCCATTCCTGTTCCCAGAATCCCCCATTCCAGCCCTGGTACAGTATGGGCTGCCACAGCCCGCCGCCCACCTACCCATCCATAGGTCTCGCCTGTGGTGATGTCCCCTCAGAAACGGAAACTCTTTTTCCAGTCCACAAGTATATTCTTCAGTCTGTGTTAATAGTTATAAATTATCTTTGGACCCACAAAATTGTTGATTTAGCAAAAGCATTATGAGATTAGGAAAAAAATATATTAAGAGTGTGAACTCTTCATCACCACACAACATAACCTCAACAGCACTGCCATATTTGGTGGGAGCAGGCTGGGTTGTTTAGTCATTGGCTTCTTATATCATCATTATTATTAATTATTATTATTATTATCATCATCCTAGTGTTAGAGCTATTGTGCACAAGTTGGTCATAAATAGAATGGTGTTGGTCTCGGATCAATTTTCAGTGGGTCCTCTCAGCGTTCTTGGACCAAATAAATAAAGTATTACCTTGTATCTGAAAGAGACTTGAGAAGAAAAAGAAATCTGAGTTTTCTTGTGCAGAGCATTAACTGCACCTACCTGTGCACCAACTTAACCATGCTTTACCCCTTCATTTATTTGTTTCAGTCATCATCTCAAAAGGTCAGTGACTCAGTTTGTCTCTTTAGTCTCTGCACAAGAAGACAAACTTTTTCCCCTGAAGTTTGCCGAGCCCAGCCAACCTGTTTTTATAGCATTCCATATACCAAAAGATGTATGTATGAATGCATTATTCATTTTCACATTTTGTATTGAAGAATTATCATCTTACTAGAACTCAAGGAACATTAAAACCAGATTTCTCTGACCTTCCCCAAGCATGGTAAGTTAGTAGTTGTTAATTTATATATTCAATATGTGTGTGTGTTTATATATATATGTGCATACGTAAATATATACATGTATGCATACATAAATACATGTATATGTATGTATGCAGACGTAAGGGAGCAAGGGGCTAGTAACCCCTTCTCCTGTATACATTACTGCAGTTAAAAAGAGAAACTTGTTTTTCTTTTTGGGTTACCCTGCCTCGGTGGGATACAGCCAGTTTGTTGAAAGAAGATGATGCAGACGTAAATGTGCGTATGTTTTCAGACGTAATATGTGTATGTTTGCAGACATAAATATGAGTATGTTTGCAGATTTGCAGATGTAAATATATGTATGTTTACAGACATAAATATGCATATGTTTGCAGACATAAATACGTGTATGTATGCAGACGTAAAATGTATGTACATATGTATGTTACTATATATATTATAGCTTATTTTTATATTTCATTTAATCATTGATTCCAGGTGATATTAATTAATTTTCAATTTATTTTACATCCCTCTTCATATCCCAGTACAGAGAAATCTGAGTCATTCCCAGGCCGAAGTATTCTATACAACTTGTATGAATGTTATGTATCAATTTCAATTGTATCCTCACTTATTAAGTGTCACAAACCCCAGAATTTCTCATTGTAGTGTCTCAAGTCCATTTGCTATTCTTATGAGAACTTTGGCCCAGGGAATCAGAAATGGTCAAAGAGTAGAATATTTCCTAAAAAAAAAAAAAAAAGAAAAAAAAAGAAAATGATAAAAAATGGAAAGTTTTGTACCCTTATTCATGCCGAGTTAAAAGTTATCCAGCAGTGATGTCCCCAAATGGACAAGAAGCCATAGCAACTAAGCTTTTGTTTGATGTTTTTAAGCTGTGATTTTACTGTGTCTGCATTGTCATCTGAAATAGATTAAAGCCTTTGTGTATCTGTTGTTTTATATCCTCTGCAAGTACTGACTAAATAAATATACAATACTAACTAATGGTAGAAGCATTAATGATGTACATATAATATTAGTGAAAATACTAACTCTAAAGAACTTACTGCATTATCCCAAAAGATCTATCCCTACAAATAATTTGCACATAGGAGAAAAACTTATGACATTTCAGTTTAACTTGTACCATTAAGTAGTTACATAGAGAAGTGTGAAGGGAAGGGAGCCCAAAAATATATGAACGGGGGACAGGAATGAGTGTGCACTGGTCTGCATGATTTACTTTATTGACTCGATGGTATTTTTTCAGTATATATATATGGAAAATAATGATTCATTGTGTTTTTATTCATCTCCATCACATCAGGTTGTCAAGTTATACGGAAACGTTACGTTTCTCTTTTCATATAACATATGTAAATGAGAAAGTGGTATATTACCGATTAAAATTCTTACCTTATATTGACTTAAATGTTAAATCTAATATATTTTCTTTAGTTTCAGATTATTTATGTCTAGAGGCTGCTGCATAAATTCACCAGACATTTTGCTATGTCTGCCGGCAATTCACCCATTCAGATTCCAGGAGCAACATTACTCCTTTATTGAAGTGCTGCTACTATGCTTATTTTGGCTGCAAACTTGGAGACCAGGGCAAACCATTTGCACCACACAAAGTTTGCAAGAGTTGCATCAGCAAGCTCTAAATGTGGTCAGTTGGAGTACCAATGGCATGGCAGGAGCAGATGAACCACCATGATGACTGCTACTTTTGTATGACTATAGTAGCTGGATTCAACAAGAAGACTAAAGATCACATAATATACCCAAATATTCCTTCGGCAATAAGGCCTGTGCCACCTGAGACAGCAAATTTCATCAGAGTCTGATACCAGTGAACCACCAACAAATGACGATCTCAAACCCTTCAACCAAGTTGAGCTCAATGACTTGGTGAGAGGCCTAACCTTCCAAAAGAAAGTGCACAGCTACTTGGCTCTAGACTGAGAGAACACAGGCTTCTAGCTCCTGGAACATTTGCTTAGTATCGTCATCATGAAGCAGAATTCACTCAGCTCTTTGACAAAGAGGAATCTCTTAGTTTTTTGTTCAAATATTTCTGACCTTATTGAACACATCTAATGCCTCCAGTCAAGTACCAGAATCACAATTTTCTCATTTGTGGTGATTTAAAAGTTATTGCTCTCCTACTAGCTCTTTAAGGCAGATACATCAAGTATCCCTGTTTTTCTGTCTTGGGATAGTAGGGCAGACAGCCAATACATACTATGAACAAAAAGACTGGCCACCAAGCAGCAGCTTCTTACCTGGAAATCACAACGTGAAAACTGTGCTACTAGTTGACCCCAAGAAAATTCTGCTATCCACATCAAATTAGGGCTTATGAAAAATTTTGTGAAGGCCTTGAATGGAACTGCTTTCAAGTACCTGGAGTCAAAGTTTCCCTATACAAGTGAAGGCAAGCTAAAGGCAGGAATCTTTGTTGACCCTTAGATTTGGGAATTGATGAAGGACAATCATTTTGATGAAGCATTATCAAGTGTCGAGGTGAATGCCTGGTTTTCATTCAACCAGATTGTCTACAACTTCCTGGGAAACAGGCACTCCCCTGAATATGAAAAAATGATCCAAGACCTGATTTCAAGTTTCCAACAATTTGGGTCTAGAATGAGTGTGAAGATGCACTTTTTGCACTCAAATCTTGACTATTTTCCCAACAATTGTGGGGGCTACAGTGAGGAACAAGGAGAGTGGTTCCATCAGGATATTTGCACCATCGAAACTCGATACCAGGGCAAATGGAATGTCAGCATGGCGGATTACTGCTGATATCACATTGAAACATAATGGTCTCGATGCACAGCATGAGCGAAAATCAAAACAGTTCTCCTTCCTTTGATTCAATATGTAAGCTAACCATTAGGAGCATATTTTTTTAATAAAATCATTTGATTCGATTAATGTTCATTTGGAATTCATATGCTCTTAAAACTAATAGAATGAATTAAAATAAAAATTAAAAACATTGCAAATGCAGACCAGTGTTATTTAATGGTCCATGTCGAACTGAAACGTCATCATGAGTTTGTCTCTTTGCAGGTTATTTGTATATTGTTCCAGTCACAGTATTGTGGCTTAATATTATTACAGTCAAAACTAAGTTCTAAATCCACAACGGTTGCTCATTCCAACTTTCACAGATCCCTCCAAGCAGGGTTTAGCGCTTAAATCTATTTATTTTTATTGTTATTCAAAAATGTATTTTCACATGTAACTATTCAAGCGAGTTGAAACGACAGAGCGTAAAAAATCTCAGGTAGCTAGAAAATGTGAGGAATGTTTAGAATGGTACGGCCTTAGGTAAATCCATTGGTCTCAGACGTTAGTAGAAGCACGTTATTTGTTCGGTGCCCCTGCTTACTCCAACTGCTTTCTCTTCATCTTCACTCACCCCGGTCTTCTCTCCAGTTACCTCCCTTATATGTTCATATGGGCATCTGCCTTTTCTCCTCCCCCTTGGAAGGTTCCAATGGTTCATGTCTGTCCTCCCCTACTACCGTGTGCCAAAGCTATCCTACCTATGGCTGCTTCTTGCTCTCTTTCTCTTGATCACTTCCAGTCTCATGCACATGCCATTGCTGTTTATACAGATGGTTCTAAATCTTCTGATGCTGTTGGGTTTGCAGCAGTGTTCCCTGACTATGTTGTCCAGGGTCATTTGTTAGACTCGGCTAGTATTTTTACCACCGAGTTGTATGCCATCCTCATAGCACTTCTCCGTACTGCATGTACATCTCCTTTGGCATTTGTGATCATTTCAGATTCCCTCAGTGCTTTACAGGCCATTAAACAATTTGATTCCCCTCATCCACTGATCCTTTGTATACAACTTGGGCTGCACCGTGTGGCTAGCAAAAACAAAGATGTCGTTTTTTGTTGGGTCCCTGGACACGATGTGCAGGTCAATGAAGAGGCAGATGCTGCTGTGCGGTCAGCAGTACACAACCTTCCGGTTTCCTGTAGAGGTATTTCATTCAGGGATTAATTTAGTCATCTCTGCCCATCTTCACAGTCACTGGCAACAATGGTGGTCGAACATGCACCATAACTGCACTATTAACCCTTAAACGGTCCAAACGTATATACACGTTTCCTTTGTCATTCATTCAACATTGGCACAATAAGCCTGAGTTACCTAGACATGAGAGAATGGGTGTGCACACTCACTGTGTGCCATATTAAAAAAATTGGGGATGCCTGGGTAACATATGCTCTTTTTTCCCATTAAAAAGAAAAGTTTTTTTTTTTCTCAAAAAATTCAGAGCACTACGAGAGAGAACGTATATACATGTTTGGACCGTTTATGGGTTAAACCACTTTCAGGTTTGTGGCTCTTTTTACTACTGTTGCCATTCCTGGGAGACTGCGCTCTCCCGGCTCCGCATCGGCCATACTCGCCTTACCCATGGTTATCTCATGGAATGACACCCTATTCTTCTCTGTGAGGTTTGTTGGGTCCTTATTTCGGTTCTTCACTTTCTTGTGGATTATCCTGTTTACCTCTGACGCCACTGCCCTACTGCTCTTACCTTATCTTCTCTTCTTGCAGACGGCCCTGCCCTTGACCTACGATCACTTTTTGTCTGCAACTGCTTTACTATACAAACTTTGATGCATAGCCCCTAGCACCCTTTTCAGCCCTCTTCTACCCTTACCTCTGATCCCCTCTCCACCTAGCTGTTTATAGCCCCAGCACTATCTTCTGCCCTACAGCACTGCATGACCCTTGTCGGTGGGAGATGGCCGACGTTGAAAAAAAAAATATATGATTAAGTAAATCCAGTAGGTATATGTGAGCATCTTAGATCAGAGTGGAGGAGCGATTTTTCGGATTTGACGTGTTGCTTAAGTGTGAACAATGATTATTACCTATTTGAGCTACAGAAGAAGAATTAAGCTAGTGGTGTGCTGTTGTTCAATATAATTATTGGATGCTTGTACACCCAGTGTGGTTAAATTTGACCAAACATACCAGATTGGTTAACACAATGACCTGGCCTAAAAGGGTACTAGACGCTTCCCACTGGACATGAGGATTTGTGAGAAACCTAAGTGTACCTTGATGTGGCAGTGTAGTTACAAAGAATCCAGACAGGAACTTGGCCAAGGAGACTTGTGATAGAATACTTGCACATATTTTTTTTTTTTACAGTACCCCTCGAGGGAGGTGCCTTGAGGGTTCATCTGTATGAGTGGCGAGGTGATCTGTATTGTGTGAGAACACAGTACTTTGTGAGCTCTCTGAAAATGAACCAATGATACCCTCTATCAAGAAACTCTACCATCAGGTTAAACAGCCGGAGGAGGCCAGGCAAGAGATAAGCCGACTGACTGAGGAAAACAAGAGGATTCATAGTAATCCTCTGGTTGTGAATCCTCAGGTCAAGAAAGGAAGCTAGACAGTATTATTATTATAATCAAAAAGAAGCGCTAAGCCACAAGGGAAGCTAGACAGTAGGCAGAATGGACTGAAGTTGAAGATAAGAAAGATCCAGGAAACTGCTGTGGAGATCAACAATTCTTTGTGTGTGTTAATAGACAAATGTGAATCAATGATCCTGGACATCCCAACAAAGACCATCAAGAACGTCACAACGAACATCACCAGCAAAGGTAAGAACACCTTAACAAGGGACAATCAAATTAAGTTTATGGATAGGGCATTTTGTCTTAGAAATAGGAAGAGGAGGCAGTGTGTGGGTTTTCCTTGGGCTGGGATGCAGGATACTGTCAGCCATCTTGACAGGTCATGAAAGGTACTGGGAGCAATCTGATTATCTGTCTCAATTCTGGAGGCAATATTATTGGCAGACATAGGAGTGAGGACCTGATTAGCAGGTATAGATCAGCAAAAGACATAATTAGGGAGAAAGAGGGGGCATCCTGAAATGTGTGGCATTTTGCTG